GATATTTTAAAAGATATTTTAGAATTATATAAATATTTCATTTTTTCCGGATTTATTGAAATTAATAATAATATTCCAGAATATAAATATATTCTTATATATTCTATGAGAAATAAATAAAAAAATCAAATCAATAAATTCATATTAAAAAGTTACATAACTTTTTTTAAATTTAATAAATTTAAATAATTTAACTGATCAAAATGAAGATGAATCAGTCATGAAACTTTTCGTAACGCAAATCGATTAAACGTTCAGGATTTCTATGATTGAGTGATATTTTCTGAACAAGAAAATGACGAAAAAATTAACAATCATCGTAAATATGATTAAAAATTATAATATTAAAACTTACAAATTATAGATAAAATAAAGATTATATTAGAATGAAATGGGATAAAAGCAGATCAGAAGATATAGTGATCAAGTGTGTAACACAATCTTATCATGCGATAATATTGAAATGCAGTTCCTTGACGACGGACGTGAAATAAATCAATACGCAAACTTTAATTTTTTTTTTTTTTTTTTTTTTTTTTTTACTTTATATATATATATATATATATTTCATCCGAAAATAGCACACAATAGAATTTCTTCATTCTCTAATAATTTTAGTTTTTGAATCTTGAGACAAACATAATTTTTATCATTCACAGAAAGATTTAATTCAAAATATATATATATGGTCATATCACTTTGATTATTCCATGAGTAATTTTAATGAAAAATATGATAAAAATTAAATAATTTAGGAACAGACAATTTAATATGAATATTTTTTGTAAATGGATGCTTAAAAATATGAATTTATTTTTTCTTTTAATGGAATCGTTCTATACACGATTCATCTTATATATATATAAGTACCGAAAAATACATATAGATATATGTATATTGCATTTATAATCTGCATACACGTATATTTATAATTAATTAAAAACACATTTTTAATTTTTTACTATATATTATATTTATCATATTATATTAATATTACATATATCCCCTATATACATATATTTTAATATATATTCAAAATATATAGAGTTTAAAAAAAATTTTAAAGTTACATATTATTTCTCTTTATTTTTTTCATAGAAATTTATTGAATGTTGCAGTGCGGTCCCATTATAGTTGAAAAGTATGGTGAAAGGAAGCTTAAAAGCCCTTAACTTGATTTGACTAGAAATAACAAGAAGGAAAGTCATTTTCTTAGCCAACGCGTACCACGTGGTTCCAGGTACGGTTCTCTCTGTGAGAACAAATTCACCTGACTCGCATACCAATGGTTCGCTTATTGCCACCACTTACATCTTACTGCCAATTTTCAATGAGAAAAAAATTTAATGCATCGACGCGATTCTTCTCGATTTTATCTATCGATTATCTATCAATAGACGATTATTAATATTCATATTATTATAAAAATAATATAATAATAATTTATAATTTCTACAAATTCAGGAATAATTCTCATGAAAATTAATTATAGCGTTATCATGACACATTAGAGTGTACGAAACTGAATGAGATGAATCAGAATAAATTATACTTTATTCGCGTTATCGAAATGTATAAAACTTAAAAAAAAAAAAAAAAAATTGATATTTTTGTCGAAAATCACGTATAATCATATTGCATAATAAGAAGACGTATTTTAATCACGTTAAAACAGCGACTAAAATAATATACAATTTTTTATTTCAAAAAAAAAAAAATCTCAAATAATTACACAATTTTTCCGATTAGAAGAAAAATATAGAAAATCTTGCTATATTTTTTACTCGTCAAAATAGAATATAATTTTGTATATTTTAAATTAATATGAATCTTGCCTTATGCGTGAAGCAACGCGAAACTCTTTTTGATGTCTGACCATTGCGATTTTATTCTACTTAAGAGGCATAGTTTCATTCGTCTACTTACGTAAATATAAAAGAGTAGTTTCTTCTTTACTCTTTACAACTTAGAAATCACGTTGTTTAACTTCAATCGTATATCGTATAAAAATTACCAGCTCTATTATTTCTTTTATGTAAAATATTTTAAGATTGTCTGACAAGTTACAAAGATAATTCTTAATTTCAATGACGATAAGAAATATGTAAAAGAAATCGTAAGTGAGATTATGCAATTTATTTTCGAACTTGAATAATTAAGGAAAGAAAGATGAATTTGACAAAATTGTTTTATATCAATGAAGATAAACATGTACTCTTTACATACAATTATGTTAGATTAATTTAAATTAGATATCCTTATCTTTAAACTTAAAATTTTTCAGATATTCCTTAAAAAAAAAAAAAAAAAAAATTTAAGTATAATTTCCAACATCATTAGATGTTAATAATAAATAATAGATATATAGCATAGTTGAATCGTGTTGATATAAAATTGATAGAGTCGAAGTAACAGGCGCGAGGAACATGATGTAAGATACCATGGTTGTATCTAATCTCTGCGACGTCGAAGAAGCGTCCGTCAGAGTGCAACAAGAACAAATATTGTAACCAGAAGGGGGAACTTTCGGTATATCGATGGTCGGCTATTAATACAGACCGGTTGTTAGTGCTACACGCAGCATCGGTTTCTTCAATAAAACGGTGTTTTTTCATCTGTTCGTCAATCGTGATTACTGGAAATTTCGAATAATTGATTGCCGTGTTCGATTAGTCAGACGGTGGAAAATATTTTAATGGAAATCAAGTGCTATATTCGTGTGTTTAAAATCTGATCGAGAGAATGAGATTCGTCGCATTTTTTCTCCTGTCCAATTTACTAATCATCGTTGTTGCATATAAAAAAGAACAGTGTCAACGAAGAACAGGCGAGGAACTTATCTGGGAGTATGACGTCAGAAGACCGTACAGGATCGGTGCATATCAAGTATGTATACTACTCTTACTCTATAATTGAAAGTGATGTCGATAACCCGATGTCTATGACACGCGAATATCATTGATATTTGTCAACGTATTAAAATTAAATGTTATTTCGATTATTAATCGTCTAAGCTTAGTGAAACATTACGAATAAAATAAACATAAATAGAAAGTATTCTAAAGTGTTACAATATATCGAAATTATTTATAAAAAAAAATATATATATATAAATTTTAATAATTTTTGAATATTTTAAAAATTTTTTTCATTAAATTTTAAAATAATAGTTTGAAATAAGAATTTTTATTCATAATTAACATTGTCCTTTAAAATATTAGAATATTTATAACATATTTATAATGTAATTAGTTGTACATGTATAAATTTTCTATATTGTAAAATTAATCGGTTAAAAAATTGAATTATTTTATTATCATATTAAAGTATAATGATGTAAAATTTAAATTTAAATTTTTTTCAACAGAGAATAATCAAAAAAAAGAAAAGATCCGAAATTTTATCGATGTATAAGTTGTCGTTCAGTTAGCAAATATAAATTAGGAAAGAAGAAGAAGTGAAAGTCGCGGAAATACGATAAAAAATTTTCTATCACTGATTCTTCCTTGCTTGGTTACAGGAAGTGGAGGCAGAGTACGGACCAGCCGATGTGACAATCACGTGTATAGGAGTAGATTCTCTATCTGATGAGAACAATGGAGCCATGTGGGTGACATCCGGTGGAATAGGATATAATTTCATTAAAATTAAATTCAAATCGAAATATTCTAGAGGATTTCATTATCGAGTTTATGTTTATGGAAAACCACACCGAATAAATAACTTTAATTTATTGTAATATTCGTAACGATAATTACTTGTAAAATGTGTTGTTATCAATAACGATTAAGAACGTATTTTGATAAAATCCTTTTTCTAATATATTTATTTAGTATTATTTTTCGAAACCTTGTACAAATTAATGAATGAAAATTTACCAAAACCAATAAAAATAATTTTTTTGTAGTTTACGGCGTCTAAAAAAAAAAAAATTGAAATTAATTAAATTCAGATTTCTAACAGATTAAATATTATTGTAGAACACAATTTTGTTTACTATTAAAATTCATTAATAACAAAAAAATTTTATCTCTACTCTTATTATAAATTTATTTATTAAAACATTAATGACGAATAATAATTTTGTTTCTGTTCGATGACACTGTTAATCATAAATCTTCGATTTGTCGCAATTTCGTAAAGCTCGAGTGTCGTGACCGGATAAAATGATTGGATAAAAAGTTTTTCCCATAGTAGAAAGTATACAAAGAGAAATTATTATTCCAAGGGTACCAGCCACAGATTTCCTCCGACGACAAATTCGACGAATCGGTAGAAATATGTTTTCTCCTTCGTGCACGAAACGATAGTACAATGGCCCATGCAAACCGGAACTTACTGGTTTATTAAATAGTTACGTCAAAAAATTTGTCATTCAAGAATCGTATGATATTCTTTCTTGGGATATACGTTAATGTTAAAATAAAAAAATTTAACAATAAAGGAAATTAATAAATTAGATTAAGTTCTAATAAATGAAAAATCCAATTGTCGTTTTTTTAATCACACAAATGATGATATATCGATATAAACGACATTTTATAAAAATTTTTCCAAATATGTGTAATAGATAATTTCGATTTTCAAGCTTTCGATTTATAAAGTACTCTTTTATATGTAATTAAGCCATTTAATCTAATTTTTAAAAATAGAATAATGATACGAAATAAGATGATGTTGGAGCACAATATTTCTATCAAAAATATGAAAAAAACCGATTTATCACGAGAAAAATAATAACAAAATATTTTAGAATAAAACCGAGTATACAATAAAGTATACAATAAAGAATATAACGTTGTGACTGCAAATTGCACAAACGTGAAAATTATTAGAATAAAAGCGCTCAAATTATAAAATATAAAATTACATTCTTGTTAAGAAAAAAAATTAACATTTATTGTAATTCGATTAATATACACAGTATAGTACCAATTGGATATTACAATCCATTTCTTCCTAAGTACATTATTGTACACAAAATAAAACACGTGTACAAACGAAATCCATAGGAAGTGGTTGGATAATATATATTACCTATAAAATTTCGCCTCTCTTAAATTGCGCGACATTACATGTCAAATACGTTATCACGAGAACGGTTAACTGTATGTTGTTAATCGACAAAACTAAGGTTACGATACTACCGAAACAACGTCGTACCGGAGCGAAACTCGACCAGTCTTTAGATCGAGGCAGAATTGCATGGACACGGTTTAAGCACGCGATCACAAGCAATCGAGATCGGTAGAAGCATCGCAACGCCGACGCCGACGCCGTTTTACCGATGTCGACGTCGAGGTCGGCGTCGTCGGCGGTTCAGTGAAGGCCAGTCATTCGCCCGCGTCGAACGCGCATCCAAACCTAACCTCGTCGGGTGCTAAGAGGCCCTGGAGAAACTGTATCGCCGCCAGCCATCCTCCGTCCAACGGCCGTTATCGTTGATATTCGTCATCTTATTGCTAAGTCAAGATGTCACGGGTGAGTTGTTGCGGGAAAAATAATCGAGATTAGAACATACAATTTCATCTGGTTATATATGGATGCCCATTAAGATCTTTATATTTATTTACGTTGTTTTCTTCGATGATTTATTGGCGAATTGATCCAGTAGGTCTGTGCAATGTATATCGCGCAATTAATCCTTCATTCCTCAATGTTATAATCAACATATATTAAAATATTAAACAAGTGGATATTAAATTTTTTCTTTTTATTGGTAAATTTTAGTTATATTATTAAGTTATATTATAATATTTAGTTATATTATTTATTTATTTTATCTTTATTCATATAAATATTTATATTTTTTTGTATCTTTTTCGTGTAATATTTTTAATAATTGGAAAAATGTTAAAAATTTAATTTTGAAAAAAATCTTTAATCAATCTGATAATTAGTCAAATTTTATTGATTTTATAATTCTATGTTTTAGTTTTTTTCCGATATACCTTTTATATTTGGTTAATTTTTCTTACGAAATCTTCTGTAAAGTTTTATTTTCTGTTTTATTTTTTTTTTATCATTTATAAAGCACGTTCATGAATAATATATTACTATTTATAAAAATAGAAAAAAATAAATTTAAACGCTCGTAATACATGTCACTATGGAAAATGAGTTGAATCCTACATTCCAACTTGATTGCGTTGCACAAAGTGAAATTAATTCTGAAGTGTAGTCTCGATAGCGTTTGCCACGCAATTAATCAGCAAAATCTTTGATCGTTTCAAGGGATTTCCAGGTGCAATAAACTCGGCATCCGAGAAATGAGATAATTAGCGTTACTGGTTAACTAGTTTCGTACGATTGATTGACTCCTTCCATTAACTAAAACCCAGTGTACCGTACTGGTCGATACTATATACAATTGAGTAAATGAACTCGACACTGGTACCCTTATGTTTCCATCGTTTCGCAGATAATGATCTCTGATTTGTTCACCTTTACGTAACTATTTAAATTTATAATTGTAAAAGTTTAAAAAATTAAAAAATTTAAATTTGACAAGTATTGGAACAAGTATAAATTAATTTCAAAATTTATCATTAATTTTGTTTGATTATTAAATTTATTAATTTGTCAAATAAATTTTTACATGTTATTTATATTTTTAATGATTTTTAATGATGGTGAAGTTATAGAATGATTGACAATACTACTTCTAGTTTACTACAGGAATAAATAATGATTTTTTTTATGGTTTGACCAGTGGCCAGTTTCGCAGAAGCATGACGCATTGGTGAAGGGGTGACACGTGTTCGATTATAATAATTTAACCGGACTTCATGATTAGGGTTGGTTCTATCACGTGTCACAGAAACTCACTAGTTTACCGCGTGCTGATTGGCTTATCGAGACTTCTATATCACATATTTCTTAAAGCTATATGTTTTCCTTACAAATATACGTATGATGTTTATTTCGAATATTTTTGAATAATCAAAAAAGGAAAAAAAAAATTCTAAAAAATTGTTATCAAAAAGTATAGTTCGAAGTTGCATACATTTAATATTGTATGCCACGAGAAAGGTTTTCATCAATAAATAAAATATGAATATGCAAAAGAGTATATACTTTATACACGCAATAAGTAATATATGTCGCCTTTAAAAACTAATCGATATTACTTAACGTAATGATTATAACGTTTTATCATAAAAAGTTTTTGTTTTTCTTATGTTTGGACGTTTCATTCAAAATAAATTAAAATCGAAATAAAAAAGGAGACTGATATCAAATAAAATTTATTATCTTTCTTGAATTAATAACTTATAGCTTTTTAATACAGTAATTTTATGTTTTTATTCTTTTTTTGTATTTTATCACTATTATTCTATTTCAGATGGAGTTCAAATAGAAAAAAAAAAATGAGAAGAATGGTAGTGAGGAAGAAGAGAAAAAAATCGAAAAAAATTTAATCAATTTGCAAAGAATTAATCACATGTAGTCGGTTCATATTTTTTGACTAAATATCGCAATCGTTTCTTCACATTGCGTGAGTCGTATCTCTTAGCACGTGAACCGGACGAACGATGAACATTGACCGTGGTAATTTCCCCGGCAAGACGTTCGCTTCGTCACGTCTCCCTGTTCTTATTAGTTAATGAGTTTTTGATACAGTGGTACATTAATTTTACGCGATGACATGTTATAAATATAATATAACCTGCATTTGCAAGCTTGTTTCTTTAATGATCCATAACGAAAATGCAACAAAGAATAATAAGAAAATGTAATCCTCGATCGCAATTATCTGAATAATATTAGAAAGGTTCGAGATGGCGCCTTGATAATAGCCCAAATATGAATTCATGCACGAAATCTAATATCTATTTGTACATTGACCATTGCTAATCTTAATATATTCATTATATCTATTTTTTTTTTTTTTTTACTTGTAAATCATCGTTTATTATTGTGTCTGCGTTTAGAACAAAACCACGTTCGATAATATTTTCACATTTTTTTATTAAATTCTACAATTATTCGCTGATAACTCTTTTAATAGTATAATCCATATCTGGATTAAATAGACATTGTGATTTAGAATTACTATGTATGTATATGTAAAGACTTAATGGTAATAAGTTGACAATAAGGTTATATAAATTATACAATAAATAATTATATCACTATTAAAATATCGATTAGTGATACATAGTTTATTTAAACATAAAACATTTTTCTTCTCATTCTTCTCAACATTTCTATTATTTTTTATTGATGTTATTAATAAAATAAGCAATAACATATATTTTATTTATATTGCAATTTTAGTTATTATATTTTTATCAAACTCATTATATTCTTACAATATTAGAAAATTTCTTTTGAATCTAAGATTAGATGTCAAAAATAAAAAAGAATTTTTATTCTCTTTCTATGAATTTTTTTCGTCATCGATATGTAATGAATTATGAATCAATTCGGTATTCAAATGTTCAATTGAAATTCATTCACATATGGTCAAGGACAAGCATAGATGTCTCTTTATGAAACTATGTGACCGTGAATTTTCGTGCAACGAGCCTGAATTCTCTCACGCTATACTCATTCGATACATTTACCCGCAATGTTTGAAGAAAATTTCTGTTGTATTATCTTCACACCATTTCTCATATTCGGTAATTAATTTTTCGATAATATATTTAAAATTGTTCAATTGTATTTTAGTCAAATATTCTTTGATACTAGATATCTAATTGTTCATATTGTTCTAGAATTATTAATTCTTTTTTCCTTTTCGAAATTGCATCGTAAATAAAAATACAATGATATACAATAATTCTGATATTTCTTGACGAAAGAAGAAAAAGAAATTATTAAAATAAATCGAATGATTCGAAATACGTCACTATCGGGGTATAGTGATAGTGTTGAAAAAACCAATACTTTTGTATCTTTTCAATTACCAAATGCTCTCACTTTCGTCGATGTTTGATATTTTTCATTATCATATTTTAAACAACAAATACATAATAATATGTGATAATAACATTAAAGATAAAAAAAACGATTTTAATATTATATATAATATTAACTGAGAGAAAAAAGGAAAAAAAGAGACAAAGAAAAAAATGAATCCTAACCTATCCCTCCATAGAAGAACAACGAAAAGCTACATATATATATATGTATACATACAATATTATCAATAACGTGAGGAAAAAGGGAAGAATACGATGGAAGAGGTGAAATCTCAATGACCCATGGAACCACTGTCTGTAAAAACTTGTTTAGATATGCAAGTGTGTAGTTTAATCCGGTTCACTCGCTTCCTTCGTTTCTGACATAGTTCAAACTTCACAATCACGCATCAAATACTGATTTGACAATTTGTAATGATCAGATAACAAGTTTTTATACTATATATAATTATTCCAATTATTTCTAATAATTATTCTAATAATTATTTCTACTAACGATGAAAATGTTTTTTATTAATGTTTTATTATTTTTATTTTATGTTTTTATATACGAAAAGTGATAATGCTATAAATGTTATATTTCTTGGATGTAACAAAGTATTATCTAATATCAAATTAGACTTTTTCTTCTAATTAAATTAGAAACTTCTTTTGATTAAATTTTTTGAAAGACATTGAAAGACTCTTTTTTTATAATTCAAATCAATTCTTTTAAATTGTAAAAATAGAGTCTCTTTACCCATTTTTAATTTTTTGAAATAACACGCTTATATAACCATATTTTAATAATTGAAAATATCGATATCATATTGAATATAATCGAAAATTTTATTTAAAATAAATCGTTGTTAAATTCCATAAATTTCATTGTTTCCTGATATCTTGTAATTACAACCAGTAATTATCCCGAGTTTCAAACTGAATATCGCTTCGAACTAGGATACGTGATCAAACAAATTGTCATTGTTCAAAAACTTTTAGGCATCGTTCAACGTGTGAGCACAAGCTAATTGTTATTATTATCGACAAGGAAAATCGAATGTACCCGAAGCGCTTTATCTTGTGATTATTAGTCCAGCTGTGAATTTCTCAGGAAGGATTATTCAAACAATGACTTTCCATGTTGCGTGTAATACATTGAATTTTTCGAACTGATTTGCATATGAGATTGATCATATTAAATTATTATCTTTTTTTAAGTTAGTATTATTAGTATTATCACTATTAAAATCGATTACTGTTTATCATTAGCTATGAATATATAATTTAAAGTGAATTTCAAATGACTTATATCATTAATATGATACAATTTTCCAAATAATCACCAAATCATCCAATAATCATCCAAATAATTTAAGTCTTAATTATAGATTTGGATCTCAATAGATATCCAAGTTTGATGATCAAATGGGATTTTAAGTTTTATTAAAATAATAAAAAAATAATAAAATTATATATACATATATAACAGATAATCTTTGTTTAATCTATTAAATACTTGTACATTGTTTAAATTACATATTGTTTTTACAACTATGGTAAATGAATAAATTTTTTTTATATTATATTATTGTCGATTTTATTTCTGTTTAATATTGTTTTTAACGGGATAGAAAAAGTAACAATGAATCAAATGATAATTTGTGAATTTTAAGTGAAAAATTGTTTCTAGTTACATATAATATGTTAATAATTCGAAAAATGATTACTATCTTGTTTAATTGAATATATGTTCTATTAAAATAGTGTTTCCTAATTTTTTAGGATTAGCGATATATTTAAAAACAAAAGAATTTAAAAATAAAAGAAGTTTTTAATTTAAAATTAGTTAGTTTTTTGACATGTAATTTCTAAAATAAAAATTTCTATTTATTTAAAATGACAATATATTTTAATATAATTATTTTAATATAATATAGTTAATTATCTATTTAAAAAATATCACTAAATATAAAAAAATATTAACTTTTTAATCCAATTTCATGGAAATAACATTTTGTAACTAATGACAATTTTTGATTATCGTATTGTCATCACTTATAAATATTTTTATATTTAATAAAATTTTCACATTATGTTGGTTAGTAACACATTGGTTAGTAAATACTGTATTAATTGCAAAAAGTGATATAATATGAAAGAAAAACAAAATTACCTTTAAATTATGATGAGAGAAACACTATCTAAGAAATGTCTTCCGATTTATCAGTCGAATTTCTGATATTACTAGTTCCGATCACTTTAAAATCTTTCAGAAACAAATTTATGTGCAAAGTTGTGTGTATGAAGTCATAAAAAAGTTAAAACAACGTATTCAGAGGATGATATCCTCGCAAGGAGTTAGTTTGGCCATATACATATCGATTCGTGCCATTCGGTGCCTGGCAGTCCTGTTTCTACTTCTATTCGCACAGATATCGGATACGAGAAAGCTTTAAAAAAAAAAGAAAATCAAAAAGTATGATTATATGAGGCTCGTTTTTTTACCGATCCCTTGAGCAATTAAAATACCCTAAATTCTGTCTGGGGAATTTTAAAATCGATTGAAGATTGTATCTTTCGCGCGAATTATATTAATTTTCGAAATCATTTAAAAGAAATGAAAACATATAATGGATATAATGGAAAATGAGAAAAAAAAATAAGAAATTTTTTTTTCGTCAGCTCATCATTTTATTTATTAGTTTTATAAGAAGATCAAGCGCATTTAATATAAAATTATTTCATGTATATATTCTTTTTTTTTTACTATTCTGTTTCACTAATACGCATTAAAAAAAGAGTCACATCAAAAATATCGTATACAAATTATTTTGCTTTGTTTTAGTGATATATATTAATATTTTTCTTATTTAATGTAACAAATTTGTAACTTGTAAACTTTAATTGTGAAAAAATAAACATAAATATATAATGATGGAAGATGATAATATTTTAAATAATATAAAAATATGTTCTAGCCATTGCCTAAAAATATTTCTCAATTATCAGCAAGAGGACAGATGGAGAGGCGGCGACCACCGTTTCTCAGAGGCCCTAGTAGAACGAGAGAGGTATTTTTTTTATTAAATTAAATATTTCACTTTCTATTCAATATACAAAATTAAAATAAAGAATTGTTAATTGAAGAAACTTGAATGAAGACTTGAAGAAATTTATAATTAAAAATTAAAAATAAATAATTTTAAACAACAAAGTACAATTTTAATTCTTTAAGCGATTATTTAAATAATTATAATTTGAGATTAAAATAAAAAAAATATTGATTTTATTATGATCACTTTTTAATTCATATTTTATAATTTAATATTTTATATATTATAGTTATATATAGTTGAATTTTCTTATATGAAATCTAATTGTAAATGTAATCAATTCAAAAAAATAAAAATTTTAGACGTTACGTACGTTCATGATTTTATGTATCTCCATAAATACATATATATATACATATACTAAGCAATAGTAAACAGAAAGATAACCTAAATGAGAAATAAATATATTATTTTATATTTTATTAAAGATGTATGCAATCTTTTAATAATGTGATGATCTTTTAATGTAATTTAAAAAAGATAATGTTTAATAAATATGGTAAAAAATATTATTTATATTAAAATTTAGTTTTTTAATTTTGTGTTACACATAATATGCTTTTATAATTATCTAAAGATGTAATAATAAAGTTATTATGCGATTATTATTTGTAAATATAATATAAAACAAAAATTTAAAAAAATTTTATAAGGTATTAATTTGAAAAATATTTTAATGAATTTAAATTTTAAATTTTTCATTTAAATTTTTCAATAATGTAATTTTACAAAGAAGATAGAGAGAGGCATAGGCAGTAAAATGGATTCTACAGGAAGTACACTAAGTGGAACTGGAGATTGTTTAAGTGAAGAAGATCTTTCACCAGATGCATTGGTTAGACAAAACTATGAATTACGTCATCGTCTTGAAGAAGAGGCAGCTAATTACAAAAGACGTTTGGATACATATAGACAAGCACAACAACATCAGGCTGCTCTTGTTTCACGTTTACAAGCCAAAGTAGATATTGTAAATTTTTAAATAAATTGTATAATATAACATATATTAATGATTTAATATTTTTAGGTATTGCAATATAAACAAAAATGTTCAGAATTGGAAAATCAAATGGCAGAATCTATAGTATATGATTCTAATAAAGTTGTAAGTTCTGCACCTCCAACAACTTCTGTTTTAGATGCAGCTCATCAAACACTAAGAGAAATACGTGAAGAACAAATATATGATTTAGATACTGCTCTAAAAAAGTTAAGTGAAGAACGTAAAAGGTATTATCTTTTTCTTTTAAATATATATCTGAGAGAAAATTATTAAATAAATATTTAACTATTGTTTTCTTATTTAAGATGTGAAAAACTGCTGCAATTAAATACAACATTAAAAGATCAATTAGAAGAATCTCATCAAACAAATGAAGCACTTACAAATGATCTACAAAAATTAAGTAATGATTGGGATATTTTAAGAGAAGAATTAGCTATCAAAGAAGAAGAATGGAGGGAAGAAGAGCAAGCTTTTAATGATTATTATACTTCAGAACATAATAGATTATTAATTCTTTGGCGTGATGTTGTTTCTGTAAAACGATTATTTGCAGAGATAAAATCTAGTACAGAAAGGGATCTTTTAAAAATGAAAAATAATATTATTTCTACTTTTAATAATGTTTCGTCAGCTTGTAATAATACAGGCTTTGCTATGAGAATGCAAGCAGCTATGCATCCAATGGTATATACATTATTTTCCTAATTTTTTTCAATATTTGTGTTATAATTTTATCATATTTTAGGTATCTCAACAAGTTCAACAGGTACAGGAACAGGTAACAACTGATTTAAAAATGGAATTAATAACACTCAAACAACAGTATGATGTAGCTCAAAATGAAATTCGTATAAAGGAAGAAAAAATCAATCAACTTATTCGTGATGTTCACAGTTTGGTAATTATTTAAATTAAAATAATATATTTAGATACGATAATAATTATAAGCTATTTATATAAAATAATAATAATTATATTTAGGAAGAAAGATGTGGAGAAGCAGAAACGGAAATTCATCGCAATACACGTTTACAAGATGATATAGAAATTTTACAATCTGCATTGAGAGATATAGCACATGCTGTAATTCAAGATGCAGAAAGCCGCGAGATTGAATCTACTCAAGCACCTCCTCATCTTCATTTATCACCTACTGGACCAATTCCTCAAAAATCACCGAAAAGAGGTACAAGAAGTAACACCATTCCAGCCTTTGCTGAAAGTACTATTAGTGCTGTACAAGCAGCTCTCCATAAATATCAGTTGACTATACATGAACTTCAGGTACAAAAATTTTATATATATATATATATATATTTTGATAACTTTTAAAAATATTAAATTTAATTTATAAAATTAATGTATTATACTATAATATAATTTATTATATTAGGTGAAATTGCAAACTAACAAAGAACAATTACAAAATACTCGTAAACAATGCGAAAATGCAGAAGAGAATGTTAAAACTTTAGAGAAAAAAGCAGAAGAATTGATTATTGAATTAGATGCAGTTCGATTACACTGTTCACAACTTAATCAAGAGAAAGATATGCTACAAAAAGGACTTGATACTATAAGAATAGAAAAAAATTCTCTTGAAAAAAGCAGAATAGAACTTAATAATATGGTATGATATATATTTCTTTCCATAAATGTATTTCAATAGATGATATTTTATTTACATTCATATTTCATTCATATTAATAAAACACTTATATTCAGATGGAGAATTTAAGCAATGATTGCGAAAAATTGCAAAAAGCTAACAATAAATTACAAAAAATTTGCGACAATCTGGAAGATGAAAAATTATATCTTCAAAGTGAACTCAATAGATTATCTAAAGACGTAGAATTAAGGTATGATAAGTAAAAGTTGAGTTATTGTGTTCAATTGTTCTACTTACAAATTAAATTACTAGGGAATTAAATTTGCGTTCAGAAGAAGATAGATGCAGTAAAATGAGAGAGGAATTATTAACTTTACGTGAAGAATTGAATAAAACATATCTCACTAAAGATATGTTAGAACAACAAAAGTTAGAAACAGATGGATTAATTTCACAAATTGAAAAATCCAAAGGTATCTTTCATAATTTTTTATAATCTATATATTTAATATAGATTAATATTTTTTTGAATTTCATTATTATTTAGGTGATTTAGAATTAGAGTTGGAACGTGTATTATTAGAAAAATCAGATGTGCAAGAAGTTTTAATGAAATTAGAAACAGTTTGCAGCAATCATGAACAAGAAAAACAACGATTACAAGAAGAATTAAAAAAGGTAAAATTTAATAAAATTTTATCTAAATTTATTACTTATCTATTGAGAACTTTTTATCAATTTTAGGTAACAGAAGAAAAAAACAAGTTAGCAAATCAATGTACAGATCAACAAGGTGATCTTGGTTCCTTAAGAAAAGAATTACTTCAAGCAGAACAAACTAGACTTGATTTAGAATCAGAGAAAGTAACTTTGAATGAAAAAGTGAAATTTCTGGAGATCGAAAAGGAAAAGATTGAAATAGAATTGGCACAAGTTACGCGCGAACGTGGAGATTTCAATAATCAATTATCAGTTTTAGCACGAAAGAAAGAAACATTAAACGAAGAATTGATGAGACTTAGACAAAGATTAGAACAGGCAAACGAAATGAATGGAAGAATAAATCGAAATTTAGAAGATCTTGTAAAAGATAATGAAGAAAAACAAGTAAAAATAATTATATAATTATATATATATATATGTTATAATATATTATATATACTATAATTATTTTTAAAAAATTGTATTATTTTTTTATAAATACTATTATTATAATTATTATACAATTATTATAAATACAATTATTATTGTTTATTATTATAGGTTCTCTTAGAAACTAATGAAAAGGAAGTACAACGATTACAAGAGCAGTTTGCTTCAATGCGTAGTGAAAAAGAAACATTAGAAGGTGTTTTATTTGATACACAAACTAGTCTAGAAAATATGCATGTGAAAAAGACTCAATTAGAAAAAGAACAGAAAGAACTTTTAATAAAACAAGAAAGCTTAAAAGGACAAGTAGAAAGATTAATGAAAGATCTGGAAAATAGTGAGAAACGAATTCATGAAATAAAGCAAACTTTAACGCAACAAAGTGGCGATCAAGAAGCCGAATTTCAACAAATTATTTCTAACGTGAAAAAACATAGTGAAGAAAACATAAAAAAATTAAATGAAGAAAAAGTATAATAATTATAATATAAACATCATAATACACATGCAATTAAGTTAATTGAATTTTCATTTTCAGGAACAAATAAAGATAAATTTGGAGAAACGACTTCAACAATCTCTTTTGCAAGTTACTGGAGAAAAAGATAATGAAATAAATCAATTGCAGCAAAGAATAGATGAAATGCAACAACATATAGAAAATTTGTGTCAGCAACATGAAGAAGTTCTTCTTAGAGCAGAAAATGATAAACAGCAAGCTCTTCTTATAGGTAATAAATATGTATATATAATAAAATATAAAAAAATATAAAAATTAAAACTTTGAGTGTAATTTTTTCTGCTTGCAGCTCATCATGATCAGCAAGCATTAATGGAAAAACTCGAAACTGTTTTGCATGAAATGGAAGAAGAGAAAAATAATGTAGAACGAATCAAACGAGAAGCTGCAGTAAAAACTGAACAAGAGCGTAACAATACAAATCAATTACGTGATGAATTAAATCGTCTTAAAACAAAATTGGATGAAACGAGATTAAAAACTGATGAAGAAAAAATAAAACTCGATCTAAAGATAGAAGAACTCTGGAAAGAACGTGAATTAGCACAAAGAGAATCCGAAGAATTGCAAGTTCAATTACATATGACAGAAGATAAAGTTGATAGTTTGCAAAATCAACTGCATGAAACTATTAGAAAACTTAAGATGGTATATTTACATATTTATATAAAATTTTATTTACATATAATATATAATATAATAATTATATAATATATAATAAATTATATATTTATAGCCGAAAATCTTAATGAAACGTTACGCAAAGAATTAGTAGACATTAGAAGACAATTAGGTGATTGTACATATGAAAAAGAAAAATATAATAGTAGCAATAAAGAATTACGTGAGCATGTAAAACGCATTGAAAGCGAAAAAAGAGAACAAAATAGAATATTAGAAGAATCATATCAAAAAATTTCAGGTAATCTACATAATAATATAAATCATAATAATATAAATTTTATTATTATTTATATTGATTTGTATTCTTTATGTGTACATTTTATAGCACTGGAAGATATGAAAATAAATGTAGATGCAGAGAGATCTCGTCTTCAAGCACAAATTCGTGATATGGAGAAAGAAATGTTGCAATTACAAAAACAACTTCATTTTACTCAGGATGAATTACAAAAATCACATCAAAGTAACGCTCAAGCACAAAATGATGAAAAAGAATTACAAGCTCGATTAACTAATGAAACAGAAGAAAGAGAACGTTTACAATTGCAGTTACATCAAGTAAAAAACAGGTAAAATATTGAAATATTTTAATTAAAATGATATTTTCCTTCATGCTTATTTTTCGAACAGTTAATGGATGTTGACAATAGTCTAAAAGTAACAAGACAAGAACTTGGAAGATTGCGATCACGTGCAGATGAAGAGAATGAGCGGTGGAGAGTTAGAGAACAAGAACTAGTAGTTCGTCTTGAGGATAGTCGATGTCGTGAAAGAAAACTCGAGGACCAAAAACATAACTTAGAAGTTTGTTTAGCTGATGCTTCCAACAAATTCAAGAACTAAAGGTAACGAAAAGCAATAAAAAACGATAAAATAATATACTAAATAACAAAATGGAAGATATAATTCATTAAATTAATTAGGCACGTCTTGGAGGTTCCGAAGGACGAGTTCGAGCTTTAGATGCGCAATTATCGCAATTAGAAATAGCAAAAAAAGAAGTCGAACAAAAATTAAGTAGCGTGGGATCGACTTTACGTCGAATTGCAGGTATTCAAATGGATGGAAGTGTTAGTATACCCTTTAAATTATTGAGTCCATCGAGAAGGTGGAGTCCAGCAAGAGGTATATGTATTTACATACATATATTAATATAAATAACTTGAAAAATTAATTTATAAATATATATAATTATATTTATAATTTATTATTATAAATTATATTATATTAAATTATATTAAATTTATAATTTATAAATATATAAATTATTTATAATTTTTTTATGATCCAGCTCAAGATCATATTGATTCTACTAGAGATGTGATTCTTGATGTTGATCCTGAGACTATTAGAAAGGGTATACGATCTCTTATGCAACAAGTAGCACAAATCGAACGTGAAAGAGTAATTAATAAAAAAACTATATAATTGTATCATTGTATTTTAAAATGTTTAATTTTATAAAAATAAGATATATTTATTGAAATTTTAGGATGACTATAAAACTGAATTGTGTAATTTGAAAAAGCAATTGGACGAAAATCAAGAAATTCAGAATAGATCTGATATACAAATAAACACTTTATTAACAAATATAAGAATGCTTCAAGATGAAAAGAATTCGTTGGAGGTAAAAATTTCTCAAAAACAAAGTGGCTATGAAATGCAGGTAAATTTCATTTATTATTTTGATTATTTATTTCGTTACTCATAAGTATATTTTAGTTAAATGCTTTACAACTAAAGTCAGAAGAATGCGAGCAATTACGCGAGAAGATTATCAATCTTGAATTAATGATTAGTAATAATTCTGAAGAAAAAATACAATTTGAGGTGAGAAAATTCTTGTATTTTTAGTTTATTATTATTATTATATATAATTAACAATTATGCAGGAAAAGCTAGATAAATTAAAACAAATTCTAAACAAAGTAGAAAATGAAAAACGTAATTTACAAGAGGAACTTAGTAAAAACGAATCCCGTGCTACGAAATTAGAATTACAAAGAATGTCATTAGAAGGTGACCTTCAAAGATTGCAAATGATGTTCCAAGAAAAAGATGCAAATATTCATGTATGTTTAATTTCAAAATATTAAATTAATTTACATTAAAATTAATTTATATATATAAATATTATTTCTCATTTATTATTATTTTTTTAGAAACTACAAGAGCGAAATGATACACAAAATCGAACAATGACAACTTTAGAAGAACGTTGTACTTCGTTGAAATCTATGGTAGAACAATTAAATCTTGCATTGGAAAAGGCATCTACTACAGAAAACGAATTAAAGAATGAAATTAATTCAATGCAGCATAACGTTATGGAATTAACAACTAATTTGCAGACTTCTAATGAAAAGAACAAACAGGTATTGACATAAAAAATTATTATAAAAAATAATAAGATTTTAATAAAAATTTTTATAAAAATTATTTATAGAGACAAAGTATTATATTATATTACTATTTTTATATTATTATTATTACATTATATTGATATTATATTACTATTTAACTATTTAATTTATTAACTTAACTATTTAATTATAGTTACAAAAACAAATTTCAAATGCTGAAAATGAACGTAGAATCTTATCTGAACGTATAGAATCAATGCAACAATCTTTAAATGATCTCAAACATACAAATCAAACATTAACAGATCAAATTACACGTCTTCAAAATGAATTAGCAAATAATGAAGTACAACGTTGTGCCTTAGAATCTCAATTAAGAATAGTTGCCTATCCAACACAAGAAGAAAATACAAACAAGGATGAAGAATTATTACGACAGTTACAAATAGCACAAAGAGAGAGAAGTGAAATGAGAGGAAAAATAGAAGCTCTTAATGATAAGGTAAATATATATTTATAATGAAAATATGATTTGATATTGAGTATTAATTTTATACATTTTAGATGAAATTATTGGAAGCTGATAAACGTAATTTAGAACGACAACTATCATTATTTAAATCAACTAATCGTAGCAAAAGTTATGAACGTTGTGAGAAAGCACATACAGAACTATTAGGTACAAGTTTCGATATAGATCATTATGAACAAGAAAATAGAGAATTAAGATTGAAAGTTCGTAGATTAGAAACACAACTTGCAGAAAAGGAAGCTGAATTTATAAGATTGAAATCAAGTTACACTCATACACATTCCATATTTGATTTTAATCGAGATAGAACCGGCGAAATTGAAAGACTTAGAGCAGCTCAACTGCAAGCTGAAAAATTATTAGAAGCAAGAGAACAAAGTCATCGTCAACAAGTTTTGCGTTTGGAAAATCAGGTATTAATATTTTCTTTATTTTTATATTATAGTTTTTATAAATAGTTATATTTCTAAATAAAATTATAACAATAGATACAACTGTTACGCGAGCAACTTAATCAAGAAATAAAACGTCGACAATTATATGTTTTACGAAGTTCAAGAGCAGGTAGAGAAATGCAACAATTAAGACAAGCCTTAGGCGATTCTTTAAGAACTGTAGCGCAAGATCCATCATTAGACGCAGTATTATTAGAACATGAAGCTCGAAAATTGGATTCTACTCTGACAAGTACTACCAGTTTACCGCCATCATTAGCTTTACCTCCGCCACCGTCTTATGATAGATCTTCTACGCCAGCACAACTCAAATGAGTTATAATATGTTTCAGACTGAATTAAATGTGGTAACTGCCAATGTATGTTCAATAATACAAAATAAGTAGTATACAATAGTTCTTCCATATATGGGAACATAATTTAACTTTAATCACGTATTTGAAATTCATTATAATAAGTTATTTCAAGACCACTAATTGATATAATATTTTAATAATGAGTAGCATTTTAGTATTTTGCAACTTTTACATACAAATTTTTCATACAAATTTGAACTGATTATTTAGAAACTTATTCCACATTTTAAATTGTAATGTATATTTATTATAATTCTTATAATATTTATTATAATATTTAATAATATTCTAGACTTCTCCAAATTATTCTGATCTCAGAATAATTTTGTTATCTTTTTTCTTTCATTTTTATATGTTATATAGTATTATCATGCTTTACAAAATTTTAATATAATAAAAATGAAAGTTCGTGATAGAAAATCATTCCTAATCTGTCCATAAATTACAATAATTTTAGCTTTGATTGTAATTTATATGTATATTTATTAATAAGTTATACATTAATTTATTATAATATTATATTATATTATTATTTCAAGAATATATATTTGGATTATATCAAATATATTTATGATAAGTATAATGGAAAGCACTTTCAAAGTATAATGATAAAAATAATGCTATCTTTAGTCTCGTCTCGAGACCAAAGAGAATCACCAAACAAAAGCATTGTAGAGATATGCTTCTGATGATTTCATAGATATTGAAATTTAACACAACATAGAATGTAGACAATGTTGTTATAAAAAATATTAAAAATAACATGCATAGTTGGCAAAATGGATTGTGTCTATTCTTTATTGATAAGAATATAGACAACTAATCCAACCAAAATATTTAGCAATTGAACTGTTGTGCTTGCAGATCAGAAAAAGAGAAAGTATTTATGTAAATTATTATTTATATCTTTCTAACAATTTAAAAATATTAAGAAATTTTATTATTTATATTTTAGTATTTATATCAAAAAATTTTTAATAATTGAATGATGAAAAATTAATGAACATAAAAAAAAACATTCAAATAAATTTTATTATTAATTCGTAATGCATAATAGATTTTTTAAAACTTGTATTTTTACAAATATAAATTGTATAAATTTAATATATTCAAAAAAAATGTTGAATAAAAAATTTGTACTTTTGAACTGATAAATTATATCAAAAAGAGCTTAAATAATGCTAGTCATGAAACATAGTTATTCTTTTTATATATATATATATATAATTATATAATGTGTTAATTAATGTTCATTTTTGTAGAGATATATGTATATTCGTATATATATATATAATAAATTATTGAAAAATTAATAATTGTACTTTTTTAAAATTAATATTTTGAAAACAACATTAAATATTAAATATTATAATAATATGTTATATTATAATATATTATATTATAATATATTGTTATATTATGTTATAATATTAATATTAATTAATTAATAATTAATAAAAGCATTAATGATATTAATATTAAAGAATTATACATATTATTATAAATATTATAAAAACTTATGTAGTATACAAAATTATATAAATTTAATTATTATTATTATTATTATTATTATTATTATTATTATTATTATTATTATTATTATTATTATTATACTTAATTATTAAAAAGTACAAACATTTATTTCTCAATTTAATTTATCATTTATTATTATAAAATTTTAAAAAATAATGATAATATAGAATCATAAGAATTTAATATCAAAATGTGATCATAATTTAAATTTCATTAGAGATTTTTCATTTCAAAATAACAATATAATTGATCATAATAGTCAATCTATATAGTATATAGAATATATTATAAAGATCTTATTAACAAATCTACACATTCAAAGTCCTAATGATATTGTTTCCGATTTTAAACCTAAATTTTAGATTTATTTTATTAAGATAAATAAAAAGTTAATGAAATGCCATTTTTTCGAATTAAAAATTTAAAAATTAGTTAAGATTAGCTAATAAGAAAGCTGATTGATGCTATATTTCTAGTTTTTATTTAGATTACAATTGTCTAATAACAAACAATTTATTTAATTATAAAAATAAAAACTCAAGATTAATTTTAAATAAGTGATCTTAATAATTTGGAATTAATAAAAATAATAAAAAATAAAAAATGAACACATCTTTTTGTAGATTCAAAAAATTTTTCTTTTCATTAATTAAATTTTATATTTATAATTATTATTTACATATATGCTATAACTAAAAACAAAATATAAAGAACATAACAACTATTTTACATTCTGATCATGTAATGATCACGTAAAAAATCAGAACGTATGTCCTCTACGATATAGAGTAATGAATGCAAAAATTATATTCAATTCAATCATAAACATTAGTAAAGGCAACAAATTTTAAAAATAATTTTTTTGACATTTTAAATCTTTTTTTAAATATTTTTATGCATTATACGTATTGCATTATATTCATATATCTTTCGACTCATGTATGAATTGAAATATTCATAAATTAAAAATTATATTTGTATTACAAATTTTTCTATTACAATGCAATAAAAATATTGCTGTAAACGATAGTTTCAAAGTTCATGATACGGCATTCCATTTGATATGAATTAAAAATAGAAAAAATCACATTTCCGAAATTACAATAAAACTAAAAAAGCTATCGGTATTTGAGATCCTAAATATACAATCTTAATTCATAATTATAATATTATAAATACAAATTTTATAAATAAACTATATATATGTATATATATACAACATATATATACCTATAGCAAATAATAGAGAAGACAAAGATATGATAAAAATTAAAGAGTTAATTTTAGAAGTAGAATCTTATTTCAATTTTAAATGATATTTTAGACAATACCATGTTAAATGTTATTCATGCGATTAAAATTTATATAGGCTTAAAAAACATCTTCAATAATCATATGTTTTTTTTCAAATCATTTTCTAATGAATATAAATTTTTTTGTAAAAATCTTCTGTTTTTCTTTGCTATTGTTATATTATAATATGTCGTATTATATACGTAATATATTGTATTATATACATTAACTTTTCATTTCTTTTTTGAAAGTTGTGAGTGAATATCAATTTATATAAATTATAGTGAAAAAAAATTATATTTATATTTAGTATATTTATGTTTAGTACTTTATATATATATGTAAATATATATATTTCTCGTCATTCTGTATTAATCAAAATTTATTCCCAATGCTTATAAAAATTGTTGCATTGAAAATCACGATTTATATCTGAACTTATGAGTATATTTGTCATCTATCTTATTAATAGTAACTATATGCTTTAATGAACCAATCAAATTACAGAAAATTCAAATTCAAACGAAAGTTGAAAGAGTCAATTTTTCAAATGGCGGCTTCACTATGTAAGTATCAACCGTTATAGTGTACAAACAGAATAATAAATATAAATATAAATATAAATATAAATATAAAAAATTATCTAATAATAAAGAATTATTATTAATTATTCATTAATTCAAAAAAATAGTTCGTAAAAATGTCAGACAGTATTAAAGTTGCCATTAAAGTGAGACCTTTGATTAAACGTGAAAAAGATGATAATTTACCAATACAATGGATAGTTCAAGAAAATTCCATTGTTTCTACAGATTTAGAAATGAAAAAACGAGGAGATGGAAGATTTATTTTTGGTATATATATAGATACATTTAATGTTTTTCTGTATTTATCATTATTTATTTAAATTACTGTTATATAATATAATTATGAAGATATAATGAATTATACAAATTCAGTTGTTTTTAATATATTTGTAGATCATATTTTTGATGTAAATGCATCTAATTCAGATGTATTTAATGTTGTTGTGAAACCTATTGTTAATGCTGCTGTAAATGGCTTTAATGGTACGGTATTTGCATATGGTCAAACAAGTTCTGGTAAAACATACACTATGATGGGTGGTACAGAAGAATTAGGAATTATACCACTTGCTATACAGTATATGTTTGATACTATTGCTAATACTATGGGACGTGAATTTTTATTAAGGTTTATGTTTTTCATAATAAAACTTATAATAATAATGTTGATAAATTCAATATAATCGTATATATAAAAAATAACTTATTTTTTAGAGTATCTTATTTGGAAATTTACAATGAAAGAGTTAATGATCTTTTAAATAAAAGTGGGATTGATTTAAAGTTAAAAGAAGATGGCAGTGGGCAAGTAATTTTGCTATGTAAAGAAGAAATCACAAATAGTCCTGAAAATGTATTGTCCATTATGAAAAAAGGAATAAAAATAGAAGAACAGGAGAAACTAATATGAATGAACGTAGTAGTAGAAGTCATACTATATTTAGAATTGTAAGTTCATATTAATAATTATATATATATATTATATATAATATCTTAATATAAATTCTGTATTTAGACAATTGAAAGTAGAGAAGCTGGAGGAGATTCAGATAGTGCTATACAAGTATCACAATTGAACTTAATAGATCTTGCTGGTTCAGAAAGAGCAAGACAAACAGGAGCTACTGGAGAAAGATTCAAAGAAGGAAGACATATTAATTTATCTTTATCAACATTAGGTTTAGTAATCAAACAATTAAGTGAATCTCAAGATAATCAAAAACATGTTAATTTTCGTGATAGTAAATTAACAAGATTACTTCAGAATTCACTAGGTGGCAATGCTATGACAGCAATAATATGTGCAGTGACTCCTGTTGCTTTAGAGGAAACTCAGTGTACTTTATCGTTAGTATATTTTATCGTTATTTTAATTATATATATATAAAATGTATATTTATATCATTTATTGTTTATATTATTGTTATACTATTATTTAAATTTTATTTTATTCATTTTTAGTTTCGCATATCGGGCAAAAAGTGTAAAGAATAAACCACAAATTAACGAAGTTATGTCTGATGGAGCACTTTTAAAACGCTATGCAAAGCAATTGGCTAAACTTCAACAAGAATTAGAGGTTTCTTGTTTGAATTGTTTTGAGACATTATCTAAGATTCATTTCTTCTAAAGTTCTATTTTTATTAATGTATTATTTTAGAAAATAAAAAATGAAAATCGATCTGAAGAAGTTAAAGAAATGGAATCTAAATTACAAGAAAAAGATCGTATTAATCAATTATTAGAAGAACGTATAGAGTTATTAAAAACTCGTATTGTTTCTGGAGATAATACAAATCAAAAAGATTCGTTGAAATACGAATTTAAAAGAAGACAAACATGGGGAGGTCCCGGAATGTTTAATCATCATTTAGCAGTTTTTCAATCTAAAACTGGTTTACCAACTATAAAAGAAATATCTGAAATACCAAATAGGAAAAGTATAATTCAGTCTATGGATATAATGAATCAAAGTAAATTTATTATATTATTTTTAAACTTCCATATTATATATTATTTATAATAATAGAAATGATATACTGATATTTGTAAATAATAAATAATATATTGTTTTTTATTTTTTATAGCATTTCAAACTGCTTTTACTGATTTTGAATTAGAATTATTTGAAACTGAAAGAGAACGTGAATCTAGAGAAAATATAAGCGATAGTGATGAAGAATCATTTGTAATAAAACATAAAAACCGAGTTACTTTTAGAGATGATGTAGTGAATATAAAACCTAAAAACAATAATTTTGATGTAACACCAGAAAAATCTAATAGTTATACTCAAACTGTAAGGTAAGATAAAGATTAATAAATTATAAATATAAACTTTCATATCTTTATTTTTTAAAATTATAATAGTTATCAGATTTCTCCTTCTACGCCAAAACATGTTTTGCGACGATATATCACAGATTTAACAAAAGAATTTGTAGAAC